TCTCTCTCTCTCTCTCTCTCTCTCTCTCTCTCTCTCTCTCTCTCCTTCTCCCTCCCACACTCACACACACACATGCACTCAGAGAAAAACACATGCCAACTCAACTCCTCACTGTAACCCTTCAACAACGTCATGACCTGTTCTCAGCGGGCTGCTGCCTGGCCTACCTGACCATGGCCCTGTGGCCGGCTGTGGTGGACACGGCCACTCAGTCTCACCCGGCCCTTACACTCACTTTGGCCAGTTTTGTCTACATCATACAGGCAAGTACTACGACCTTGAGCAATAGTAATTATAATGATAAAATTCTATTCTTACTGATCCCTGTGAAGAAATTTAGAAAACAAAAACAGAAGAGCAAACATAGATAAATACATGTATACATATATGTAGGGCATCGTGGTGAAATCAGGCGCTCCTTAATATAATGAAATGGAAGATAGCAGCATTTTTCTGCTGTTTTGGCCATTTTTATTGAATTTTTATTTTTTAGCTCTGCACATTCTACTTCCATTTAAAAACACATTTTTGAGAGGATTTTACTGAATAGCGTTGATTAAAGGCACAAAAAATGCAAATTTTCAGTTTCCAAGGACTCTCAAGCTTCCGAAATCACTTCCGAAATCACCAAATTTCGGCGTCTATTTTCTCACTAACTTTACCTCTGAAACCAGGTGACCACTAATTGGGCATCGAAGATTGTGTTTTATCTTATTGGTTGTTGCTTTGAGATTTAAGTTATTCACATTATTCCAAGGCTGTGGAATAAAAGTCAAAGTTTGTATTTATAGTTTCATTACTTGTATCACTGGCCTCGTACAATTCTTTCATTTCATTATTGAAAGACAGACAGACAGACAGAGTTAACTAAATCATGCTCCTTGATCCCTGAGAAGACCCTCTAACTCTTTTCGTGGTCTTTTTTTGTCATTGTTCTTTCCCTACCTATTTTGTCTTGTAGGTTTTGTTCTGGGTGTGGACAGTGGCCTACAACTTTGTGCCTTACGGGGAGTACACACGAGAACACACGGACTGGCTCATTGGGGCTGTGAGTCTGGGCATTCTCTTCACCACTCTCATGCGTAAGTCCTCATTGACATGATATTGTGTTTGTCTTATGTCTTATTGTTGGAACTGTGTCAAGCCTTTGAAACAAATATCTGTGTGTGATTAGAATTACAATGTGTGAGTTCATTAGTGAAAAGGAAAATGGCTGTCATCTCAAGTTTAATTTTACCTTTCAATTGATTTCTTTAATTTGTTTTCAAATGCACTTTTATTAACACCACCAACGAACTGAAGAGATTTCCCACGAATTGACAGCATATTTTGAGTAACCTGTAAAGTACAAAATGGTTACTGAAAAATCATCTAGTGATATCTAAGAGGAAATAACGGGTAATTTATTCTTGGTATGTATGATTGAGTAAAACAAGGGTAAGAGATGTGATGGAGTGTGTCGAGTCAGAATGACGAAATGGAAGATTGTTGTCCATATGTGGAATATGGGTCTATCAACACTTGTTGTAATGAGTGAAAAACCCTGATGGAAAAGGAGGTAATTTTGATTATACATTTTATTTTCCCAAACAAAGCAGCTGTGTGGTCATACTCTCTGTTGAAATCTTTGCGCCTTGAATTGAATTTGTTTGGTCTGTCTGTATCCACACAGGTCCTAGCTCTGAGGAGAGTCATACAGCTCTCTACTCCACACACACAGACTCACGCGTGCCTTCTTTTGGACATTACGTCAAAGGTGAGTCACTCAGCACACACACACACGCACACACACACTCACACACACACACACACACACACACACACACGCACACAAGCACACACACACACGTACACACACACACGCACGCACACACTCACACACACACATGCACATCCTCTTTTGAGCATTTTGTCCGAGGTAAGTCACGCACATATTATGCCACACACACAGACACATGCATGTCATTTTTTGGACATTAGGTAGTGATTTGGAAGTACATTTATGTTATAAGATATACATAACAAGTTTCTCCCCCTCTCTCTCTATCCCTTGCTCCTTTTCTCCTTCTCCCTCGCACTCCCACCCTATCCCTCTCTCTCTCTATTTTTCTCTCTCTCTCTCTCACCCCATTATTCACTGACCTTGTCCTCTATCCCCTCCCCAGTGTTATTCCTTGTCTTTGTCTCTGGCTCTTTGTTTCTATCTCTTTCTTTTTTCTGTCTTTCTCCCTCCTCCCCCCTCCCCCTCTTCCCCCTAACGGCCTCTTTCTCCTTCACTTATTTACTCTCTCTCTCTCCCCCTCTCTCTCTCCCCCCTCTCTCTCTTTCTCCCCTCCCTCTCACGTCTCCCTCTGTCTCTCTGTGTCTCTCTCTCTCTCTCTCTCTCTCTCTCTCTCTCTCTCTCTCTCTCTCTCTCTCTCTCTCTCCCTCTCTCTCTCTCTCTCTCTCTGTCTCTCTCTCTCACACACAGACATCATGTCAACTGACCATCTCCTTCCTTCCCTAGTGTTATTGTTGGTATTTCTGGCTGGCCAGTGTGGGATGTTGAAGCGACACTTAGACTACAGGCCTGGTCACCCCTCTCACAAACTGGACAAAGTCAATGTAAGTCAGCATGGGCAAAGAGAACACACTGATTTTGTTTCACCATGGCACAACATTGTATGAGCAGGGCTGCCTAAATCTACCAATTTTTTCCAGTAGTTACCTATTTTGGACTTTTTCTACCGCCATACTGATAATAGTGTCAAAACTTCCGGATTTGTGATGGGCATCGAGAGTAAAAGAAAAATTAAATTGCCTGTCCTGCAGTGCTTCCAATCTTCCTTGTTTTACGGAATCAGCACATCCCGAGAGTTCTATCCTTGCTGCATCGTCATATTAACTCCATCCATTAAAAAAGAAGAGAGAAATACAGCACACTGGCAGAAAGATGACGATACTTGATAAAAACAGTCCCCATGCGGGAATCAAACTCATGTCTTTGTTATACTACAGGGAAGAGCCTGTTTACTACCCCTCAGATGCCAGTACATCCAATCTGAAAGAGAGATTCTGATCACAATTTGCCATAGACTCTTGAACTGGGAGTTGTCTCCTGCTTTTGTCAGCTGTAAGAGTAAAAAAAATGCAGTAAAATGCTAGCTCAAAAACAGGGTGCTGCACAGTTTCGACCAGAAATGGCGTGTTGATTGTCTATATTAGTGTCATATTATGTATTACTTTTGGCAACGTTGAAAAATTATTCTATATACAGGTAGGTATGGATAACTCAAACATGTTGGGTATTGACAAATGTGCTCGATACATTCATAGTGTAGGTTGACCCATATCAAAAAGTTAAGACATACCAGTTGGGGAATAGCAATTTGTATAAGATATCTGTGATTTTGAGTTTTCCATGTTTGTGCTATCTGTGCCTGACTATGTATTTGTGTGTTTATTGGTATTTGCTGACCTTTATAAAGCAAGTGTCTCTACCTTTATTAATTACTTTGGTTTTTTTAAAATCATTATAATTACATTATCCAAGAGGACCGCTTGTGTAAAGTTACTGTTTTTCTGCTCAACAATGGGTGGTCGTCTTAGGCAAGTTCAACTGCATTTATAAATTTAATTATAAACCATTAAAAAGGAAATGTCCCGGCCTTGATAAATCAAATTGTTCTCCTGTACGTACCCACAGGCAGAGCCTAATGTGTTCAGTGCTGCCATCTGGACTTTCCACTTTGGCTACGACAACAGAGGCTGGCCTAGTATGGAGAGAGCTGCTACATTGCTAAATGATACAGGTGTGTGTGTGCGCGCGTGTGTGTGGGTGTGTGTGTGTGTCTTTGTATGTGTGTTTGTGTGTGTGCTTGTATGTGTATGCATGCATGTGTGTGTGTGTGTGTATGTCTTTGTATGTGTGTGTGTGTGTGTGTGTGTGCGAGAGAGAGAATACACATTTGTGTGTGTGTGTGTGTGTGTGTGCGTGCGTGTGCAATCATGTGTGCATGCGTGTGCACGTGCATGCATGCGTGTATGTGTGCCTACATGATGTGTCTGATAGATAAAATGATCAATTACTCAGGTTTAACCGACACTTTTAACTCCAAACATGGAATTCTTGGCTGTGTGGTATGGTGCGCTGGGTGATGTTTTGTATTCAGTGTTAGTATGTGTGAACTTGTGTGTGTGATTCTGTATGGGATCATATGTATGTGATCATGTGTGTGATCAAGTGTATGTTGTGTGTGTGTGTATATTGTGTGCGTGTGTGTTTGTGTTTGTGTGTGTCGTGTGTATGATTGTATGTGTTTGTGATCATATGTTTGTGATTGTCTGTTTGATCGTGTGTATATTTGATTGTGTATGTAATCATGTGAGTGATGGTATGTGTCTAACAGTGTGTCTAGTCTTGTGTCTGACAGTGTATCATTTTTCTAATGATGTGTCTGATTGTGTGTGTCCCCCAGGTGCGGATGTCATCACCCTGCTTGAAAGTGATGCGTCCAAACCTTTCCTGGGTAATAATGACCTTGCTGGATGGTTGGCAGAAAAACTACAGATGTATGTGGACTTTGGGCCTGCCACCAAGGACCATACATGGGGGTGAGTGAGAGGGAGGGGGAGAGAAGAGGGGGGAGGAAGTTGGCAGAGAGGCTATACATGCCTTCCATGAATGATTATCTATAGGAACGAGTGACAGGGAGGAGGACGGAGGGAGAGGTGAAGGGAATTTAGCAGAGAGACTTTAGTTGTATGTAGACTTTGGACCTTCCACCAAGGACCATACAAGCAGGATAGTTTACTTTTCCTGGGACTGATGGGAGGAAAAAAAATGGGAGATAGAGACAGAGAGATACACATAGAGAGAGAAAGAGAGTGTGAGGGAGAGTGTGTGAGAGAGAGAGGGAGAGAAAGAAAGTGAGAGAGAGAGAGGCAGAGAGAGAGAGGCAGAGAGTGAGAGAGAGAGAGAAAGAGAGTGGCCAAAGCTTTTATTATGGTGTTATGTGAGCCTTCAATAGATAGAAGTTTAAGACTGAACCATTTTTGAAAGATATATATCGTATTATGATACATACAATGAGCAACTATTTTCTCCTCTCCCCATCTTCCCTCCCTGTTTCTCCCATTCCCCCATCATCCACCATCTGTATCTCTATCACATCCTCCCTGTCTTCCCTCCCCCCTCTTTTTACCCATTCCTCCATCATCACCCACCATCTTTATCACCTCCTCTTCATCCCCCAGGAACCTGATCCTGTCCAAGTACCCAATAGTCCAGTCAGTGCACCACCTCCTGCCCTCACCCCATGGTCAGTAGACTTCATAGACTATGATTGATATTTATATCTCTTTATAATATTCTCTGATACAGAATATGTTATGTGATGCCATGGTGTTTTTTTTTAATGAAAAATGTTGTCGAATGCAGTGGTTGCCAACCTTTTCATAGCCAGCACCCACATTTTCCACCTTTTGGATGTTAAAATTTTTGTACTGTCCAAATATTGCCTAGATTGGCAAGCACTTATCTAATGCCGTTTTGAATTATTTGGAATATATTGTCTGATACCATGGTGTTTGAGAGAGTTGGGCTCACCACTAACCTTTGCAGTTTCTCCTAAATTTAATGTTGGTGTCCATTGCTGTCTTGTAAATAAAAGCTGTTATGTCCATCATGGATTTTTCTTTATTAGGGTGTATTTTATGGTTATGTAGGAACTAGTGTCTCGGAGAAACCCATGCTAATGGCATCATGTGTGTATATATGTGTGTGTGTGTGTGCAGGCAGGGTATACATTTATAGGTGTTGGGACTTCATCAAGTCTGAGCTTTCTTAAATGCACAAGAGATGTTACCGTCCAGTACCACTGCTATTACAAGCCGTCCTGCTTTCCTCTCTCACCCTCCCAGGTGAACTAGCCCCCGCAGTGACGGCCAGCATCAACATCAGTGGCACTGTAGTGGACTTTGTGGTCACTCACATGGGCAACGACAGGGACACTCTGGACAGGAAGTTGCAGGCACAGTTCTTGGCTGAGCAGCTCAGGACATCGTAAGGAACATAGGGGTTGGGAGGGTGGGGGGACAGAGAGATAAAGAGAGGGAGAGGGAGAGAGAGAGAGAGAGAGGAAAACAGTTCCTCTGTTGTTCTTGTCTATCAGTGTAGCTTTTTCCCTACACTAAATGATAGTTGTCTTGTGAGTGTGCTTTACAAACTGCCTTTGATTGTAAAAATGTTAGTTTTCAAGTCCTGCACAGCATCTGTATTTTCTCCCAGTTATTGCTATAATAAATTGTGTTTCTGAATGCTGATGCTAAGTGGTACTGAGTAGTGCTAAGAGCTATGGAGTTCTGCTAAGGACTGTCTTGTCTTGTCTACCTTTACAACTTGAGCCAAGCTTCAAATTGAACTGTACTAGAATAGATCTAAAATTTTGTTACCGGAACAGAAAAGACTGGTGTCTGTAGGGAATTGGCGGGCTCTTTGCCTCATATGCATAATATGAGAGGTCTGAGTTATGTTGACGAGTGCGTGAAATATTGACAGTGTCAGCAATGACATGAAATGTTTACCAATGACTGCCTTGTTAAGTGATCAACCCAATATGTGCGTGTGTGTATGTTTGTATGTGTTGGTGTATGTGTGTGT